GAGCCTCAATTCAAATCAGCTTTCTTATCTAATTATAAGATTCTTGGCATTAACAAGTGACCAGCCCTTAGTTGCCTGTGTCAAATAGTCAGCTGTAGCTGTTGGCTTTGGATCAATAATTGAAGCTGTGCTAGGAGAGAGTGAGCCTCTTACTGTGCAGATGAGCTTTCCTTGACTATACTATTTCTCCCTGAATTCTTGTGGGATTCCACAGAAGCACAGTTGTCCTCATTTGTAAATTGCTTAAAAGAGTGTTTAGAATAAATTATTTTTATGAAATTCCATCTCTAGTTCCCAGTTCAGGAGAATGACTGTCTATGGGGGTGTTTCTTCCTTAGAAGAGGGGGATGAATTCTACTTTATGTAAATCACAAGCTTGGCTTTGTCTTGTACAGTGAAAATTTGACTATTCCTCTTCTACTGTGAAATAATTTCAACCAATAGATGCCACTGTTTACATCAGACATCTTGGAACACTTCTCTGCTTCTACTTGGTGTTTTAATGGTTCCTAATCTGAGCAGGGCCTTAAGGAAGTATTTTCTAACCTTATTCGATATTTTAAAAAACAATTTTATCTGAAAGATTTACCTTAAGCATGCTTTTTTAAAAATCTTGAATGTGTTTTCTAATATCATTGCCTATGCACACAACACAAATAAACATTCAATAAAATGTAAGAAATAATAAGAATTAAGACACAAACTTTCTTTATTTTATCTGCATAATATTTTGAACATGTCTTTATATCCTGGAGTCTCTGAGAAAATAAGAACAAACACAAAACTAGAAAGATCAAGATGGGTGTGGAAGAGTACACACAAACACACACACACATACACACAAAAGTTTAGTTATTTGAGTAGAATGGGCAAGGAAGTGGTACATAGCTAGATATGAGCTGCAAAATCTCTTTCCCAGAAAGCATATTTTGGTTATGAGTGTTATTTATATCTGAGTTTGCTTTTAATTGCTATCTTGAGCCTATCAAAATTAATTCCTTAAGACACTTATTCATTTATTTAATGAACCTTGAGGTCTTTCTCTATCTCAGAGACTATTTTAGATACTTGTGATTCAAAAATGAGTAAAACACAGTGTATGCTTCAAGGAACTCACAGTTTATTATGGGAGACATAAGTAAAGACAAATAAATCGAAGCAAGTAAATGTCACTGCAAATATATTTACTTGATATTCTTTTAGGTTGTACTTTAAATTAATCTTAAGGGTGGATAGGAGTTCAGAGGCAATTCAGAGCTGAAACTGGCCTTCTAAAAAAGGGAGGATGGCACATGCAAATGTATGGAGAATGAGAGTGTGTTGCTTTGAGGAATCTAATGATTGCATAAGACTGGAGCACCATGTGCATATGCAGAAAATTACAATATATGGGAGATGTAGGAATGGGGATGGCATGGAAGAAAGCACATAGTAGACAAGGGCTAGACTGGAAAGGTCTTGTAAACCATAATTAAAATTTGAACTTTATCTTTTGAGTGTCCAAGGAACTACTGAGGGATTTCACCCAAGGTAGAGAAATGATGAGATGCATGTTTTTCAATGAGCCACATGGAGTATGGATTTTAGGGGGAAGGGGAAGAAGGAGTGAAAATCAAGGCAGTGAGACCAGTTGAAAAACTTCTGCAATAATTCAAAGAAGAGTTGCCAGGACTAGAAGATTGACCTCCAGTTCTTAAATGGATCTGGAAAAATGTCTCTTTATTCACAGAACCTAACATGTAGTATTGATGAGGTTCAAACAGGTAAAGACCAGAAAAATATATTATGGACTTTATTCTAAATTCTGACATATACACTTGCATGTAAGAAGGCACCATTAAACTTGTGACAATTTATATACTCATACAATAGCTTCCAAATGATGTTGGAGAAAAAAATGTAATAACATGGAAAAGTGATCATAAAATTATGTATGAAAATTATCTTACAAAGAAATATGTAAAGTATAATTCTATTTTCATTCATATTTATACATGAAGATAAATTGTTTTTGAAGTATGCTTCTAAAAATAGAGATGAGATGGGGCCATAGGCAAAAGTCTTATATATATTTTCAAAAGTTTTTAAAGAATGTATTCAGATACATGTATATTAAAAGTATAGTATTTTATATTTCAAGTGTTTTCAAGGAAAACACTTGAAGTATGTATTATGACAAGAGTGGTTATGATCAGTACTGAGATTTGGGTTAATTTTTATTTTTTTCTGTTTGCTTGCTTTACTTCTCAGATTTGTAATTGTGCATTTGTAGTGCCTTGACTACACAAAGAAACAAAGATAAATTATGAGACTTAGATTGTAACCTTCATAATGAAAGGATAAAAGTATAAACTATATATTTGGCATGCAACAGTCACTCACTTAGAATGAACTAAATATTTGTGCTGAATTACATGCAAAAGACACTTGAGAAATTCACTGTTTCCTGGAAAGTCTGTCTTTATTAGTGAGCTTAAAACTACCATAGGAAAAATGAAAGTGAGTTGCCATAAAAAAGAAGAAAGATCATCACAACTCATAGAGAAGTCAAAAAGCAGACTTATATTTGGCATTGTTTATTCAAGGGCACCTGGAGGCTAAACTTGTCCATTCCTAGTGGAGCAGGAGATTTTAGGCTAGCAGAGCTGCAGCCATTAATACATTATTTTGGAATCATCCACCTTATTGCCCTAGTTCTGATTCTGTGTTCACCAAACAAGCCACTTTCTGGTTGTAATTTGGCTATGTGCAGTATTCTCTGAGGAAATCATGAGACTGGGTTCCCACAATGCTCCCACTTGCACTGTGAATGGAGATCTGACAAAAGTCTCTGTTAGTTTTGCAAGTGTATATCTGTCCCTGTGAGGCCGAGGTCTTCTAAAAAAGTGATCAAACTGAAATTTCTGAACAGATCCAGAAGGTGGTGATATGCTCCAGAACTCCCTTTGGTAATCTGTCACCTGAGTTTTCCCTGGAAAATTCTACAAATTTGCATCACCAGTGACTTTTAGCTTGCCTCTCAGAGTTTTACAATATCAACTTATATGTGATAATTCAGCGTTAGGAGGTCTTTTGTTCTGCTGTTATTTAAAAGTTCTATTAGTCATTGAAGTCAACAAAATCTAACTGGACTTACATTGTGTACTTTGCTCTGACTCCACAATCTCTACAGAATATTTGTGAAATATTTTGTACAAACATACAACAGTATTGTTGTTTGCTTAAAATAATAGCAAACATCATAAAATAATTGTGGTACATATATATGTATATATGTATACACACCTAGGTAACACAATTTAATATATGCAGGGTGTCAAAAATGTATACGCATTATATATATATGTATACACACTTTATATTTATATATATATATATCTCCAAATATTAACAGATCTTTATTATTCTTGTTTGAAAATATTGTAATGGTTTGCTTAAGGTTGACCTAGGTTCTAGAGTATCCAACACATACAGATATATTAATCACTCATTAACTATACTGTTGGAGAATAGAATTCATAAATAAGGCCCAGTAACAGAACTGATAACATATATGGATTTAAAGGGAATATTGCTAGATAATTCTGGTGAAGAACTTTCTGTTAGTACAGTTAAGTGTGCTAAGTGTGGTTTTCTATATGTTCTTAACAGACAGTCTGCAAATAGTAATCTGAGATGCTACTTGAAAACAAACTTTCTTAGCTGGGCATGGTAGTGCATGCCTGTAGTTCCAGCTACTTGGAAGGCTGAGGCGGAAGGATCGCCGGAGCCCAGCAGATCGAGGCTGTGGTGGCCGGGAGTGGTCACTGCACTCCAGTCTGGGTGACAGAGTGAGACTCTAACTCAAAAAAAAAAAAAAAAAAAAAGAAAACAAACTTTCTGGTACCAGTGAATCGGCCTTTCTCCACAATCAGATGATTTGTTGTATGGACAATTGTTGGATGGCCACTGATCTAGGTTAATGCAAATTTTATATACAAGATGTTTCCAAAGAATGAGGTAGACTTTTGAAGAATGCCATATTTAAGGTTAAACAACTGGGATTTTTGAACTTAATTTTAGAGCTGTTACTAGAATACAGGTCCCTTAAAGATATGGATTTTAGTTTGCTTTGTTTGCTGATATATCTGAAGTGCTTAGAATAATATCTGGTACACAGTTTGTGCTCAGCATATATTTGTCCAGGGCATGCATAATGATTAAGAGTTTGAGTTTTAGAGCTAAACATAGTTAAATTCCAGTTCATATAGCTTCCCTAAGCCTTGGTATGCAAAATAGGGATATCAATGCCTAAATTATAGATTTAAAATAAAAGTTAAATTAAATAACAGCTGAAGATCATTTAGCAGAGTTCGTAGCACATAGCAAAGTCCTCAATTAATGAGACTTTTTACTTGTATTTCCATTAATAATAATGTTTAGCATATCTGCAGTATTAGATATTAATGAAGTGACATGCTAAATTGAAACTCTAAAAAGAAGTTTTGTTTAGAAATGAATAAATGTAATAATGACATAAATTTGCTTTCTTTTTGTACCCTGCATTGTTAAAGAACCATATGAGTTTGAGTATACATAGTGAAATAAACGCCAAGCACAAAAGACAGATAATTGTATCAATTCGTTATTTAGAGTCCTTTCCTTCCTTCCCTCCTTTTTCCTTTCCTCCCTTTTCTCTCCCTCCTTTCTTTTTCTTTTTCCTTTGTTTATCTTTTTTCTTTCTTCTCTCTTGCTCTCTCCTGCTTTCTTTGTTTCTTTCTTTTCCTTGCTTCATCTTCCCTCCCTCCCTCCCTCCCTTCCTTCCTCCCTTCCTTCCTCCCTTCCTCCCTTCCTTTGTCTTTTGGTCCAAATAGCTTGGATCTTACAGTGGTCTATTGGAAGGCCCAAGTTCAAGGAAGGGAGAAAATAATGGGAAAGGCAAACATTCTACAAAGCTGGTTTTCTGGGTTCTGTTATTCTGTCAGATGGCTTATCTTTTTCTTTTTCTTTTTTAACTTCAGGTTGTATTTAAAAGGTCACACTGGAACAGCAGGAAAACAGAGCAGCCTGATCTTGCATGGTGCTGATTTCAGCACTAAAGATGCTGATAATGACAACTGTATGTGCAAGTGTGCCCTCATGCTAACAGGAGGTAAGTCCTGTGGGGCTCTTTGCTAAGCTATGTTTCATTGGTTTAAGGCTTGAGTTTCTTATCTATGCGGAAGGAGTATGATATTCTGGTCAGAAAACTTACGAGCGAGTTCCTAGAGATTCATTTTATACTGCCCACTAGTTTACCCTGTGTTCTTGTACAAGATATTGCTAGCATATTTAAAAATTTGTCCTCTCCCCAGCAACTATAATGGGGGTGTGTTAAGTGTGGTTCTGGGAAAAAAAAAATAAGCCTTTTGAAGTCACAATTATTCTATCTTCTAAATAATCACCACAATATCCCTACTGGAACAAACAATAATTTGGGAATTCAGTACATCTAGCAATGACTTTTTACAAAGTACTTTGCAACTGTGTAGTAGAGTTAAATGATCATTTAATTGAAAAGCACTAAGAAAAATAAAGTGTAGTTAAACCTAAGGTTATGCCTTTCAGACTAGCTACACCGGGGTTTCCATTCCATGGTATTAACCTTTGCAAGCTATTTTAGCTAGCATAGGAGACACCATTAAGCAATATCATATCATAGAGTAAGAAAGTTAATCCTTTTTGTGTAGTTTCAATAGTTTTACAGCTTTCTGATTTTGCCAAAGGTAGATATTCGATATGGTGCTAGCATGTCTGTAGCACTTCTTCAGCACTTACTTATCCCTCCCCTCGTTTTTGTTTTCTGGTTGGGGTCTCACTCTGTCACTCAAGCTGGAGTGCAGTAGCGTGATCAGGGCTCACTGTAGTCTCAACCTCCTGGGCTCAGGCAATCCTCCCGTCTCAGCCTCTGGAGTAGCTAGGACTAAAGGAACATACCACATGCCTGGCTAATTTTTGTATGTTTTGTAGAGATGAGGTCTTGCTTAGTTGCCTAGACTGGTCTCAAACTCTTGAACTCAAGCAATCTTCCTGCCTCGGCCTCCCAAAGTACTGGAATTACAAACATGAACCACTGTACCTGGTCCTAATCAACTTTCTTAGCAAAGAAGGAGCAGATCCTCGTCTTTAGTCTCAGAGCCTTGGCTAGGCAATGCCATATACCTAGAATTAAATAACATTATTTTGTTTTAATTTTACATGTTTTATATCTACCTTCTATTATAACAAGTTATACTGGTTTCTTTTTAAAAATAGAAATGTTTAATTTTAAAATGCATTCACAATATTTTGTATCTAACAAATAATTGACTTAAAAAATGTTAGTTAAATATTAACAAAAGTTGTAAATGGATATAGCAAAATCTGTGAAGTTGATACACAACTGACTAAAGTTTAGGAAACACTAAGCTAAAACCTGATGGTAAATGATGTAAATCAAGAATGTTACAGACTCTGGCAGAAAGGACTTGGCACCAAGCAAAACTGTCAGGAAAACCTCTTTTTCAGTGTTTTTCTTAATACATTTTTTGTGTTGTTTCCTTCTCTTACTGTAATAGCAATCATTCCCATCTTCAACACTCCTGATACACTTTTTGTATTATTCTATAACAAAACATGCTTTCATACTAGTAAGCAAAAACCGGTTCAAATCTAATAGTTTTCTTCCCCAGATACTGTATTACTACCATTATTATTATACATTATTATATGTTACTGCACATGTTGTACCATCTTACTTGAACTCCAGACAACCTCTATGAAACAGCAGGGTGAGAAATTCACCTCTACTTAGTACATAAGGAAATAAAAAGTCAGTTAATGTTTGCCATTTCATCCTTAAAATCTAGCACAGTAGATCGTGATACATAGAAATGCAATAGGAAATATAGTGCATGACTGAATGAGTGATCATCTTGTAACACTTTATATCACTTTTAAAATTTAAAGCCAATGAAATAAACCATTAGGTTGACTTTTTTTTTACCCTCATCAATTGATAGAGCATGGAAAAGTAAGGAAGAAAACTTTGGGGAAAATCTTTGCATACTCTTCCCCATCCCCAGCCCCTACATTACTACAATTACCAAATCACAGCCCGTTGATCCCCATCCATGCCACCTATATTGACATCATTTAAGTGTGAGACCAGCCCCCGTATTGTCAAAACCAACTTATTATTAGTATGCCTCTGTCATATTTTTTAAGCTTTGAATATATTATCTTGGTATCACATTCAATTTCATCAAATATTTAAGAGTTTCCTATATGTAATTTTGTAACTACACAGCCCCCAAAATTGTTGCTATAATTCTGGTATTTTTTTTTTCTGAGTTGGAGTCTCACTCTATCTCCCAGGCTGGAGTGCAGTGGCACATACACTGTCACCCCAGAGTTGACCTGTTGGGCTCCAACGATCCTTCCGCCTCAGTCCTCCAAGTAGCCAGAACCGCAGGCTTGTGTTGCTACCATGCCTGGCTAATTTTTATTTATTATAAAGACAAGGTCTCGCCAAGTTGCCCGGGCTGTTCTCAAATCCGCGGGCTCAGGCAGTCCACTCACCTTGGCCTCCCAAAGTTCTGGGATTACAGACTGAGACACCAAACCTGGTCTCTAGTATGTTTAAAACATGGTACACACATGGTAGGTCTTGAACTTTTCCCTGAAAGGAAATTTTTATTTTCATTACCTCCCTGATCTTGTAAATGAAATTTTCAGCAATTTTATATATAGACATAAGGAATTTGATTTTTTGGTTTCCTGGCCATTTTAATGTTGAAATACACTTCATTTTCTCCATGTTTATTTTTACAGATAATTTTTCGTACCAAATAAACACAATACATAAAAGACCAACAGTAAAATATTTCAAATGTGTCCTTAGAAGAATGTTCCAATATATTCATATTCCTGTCATAATAATAAAAATATGGAGTGAAGCAAAGAGGAGAATGCACATGTTGTCAATGAGAACTTTTTTGCTCAGATTTATGATTTTATTTCTACTTTAAATGACTGAACTTTGTCATGTTTTTTCATCCATAATCATTCCTGGATCCACATCTTACTCGCTAATAAACACTTACGTTGGGGACAGAAAATTTCCACTATTGCTCAGACTGGAATAGTCTAAGTAAATATATTTTTGTGAAAAACCATTACCCTATCAAATATCCTTTTGAAGGAATCCAGGTCTTGCAAAGTTATTCACTCTGCAAAGCTAAAATGTGGAATTTAGATAGCTAAGAGCTGGAGAACATAAGGATGAATATCAGTGACAGTCCAGGTGACTGGAATATTGCCTGGAACTTATGTCCTTACTTAGCCACTTTCCACCGCCACAATTTATTCTCTGTCAAATTTTCCCTTAGAACCACTTTTTTCATCTAATGATTTTTCCTTTCTTCTTCTTCTTCTTTTTTTAATATATTTGTATTTGACTCTTTTAAGTAATGAGTCTTCATATTCTTTGAAACTAGTAACTCATGGCTCTTTGTCATCTTCGATTAAAGCTTTGTTTTATCTTCTTTATTTATATGTATATTTCCTTTGTTTCTAAAAGGAATTCAGAGTAAAAGTAAGATTTATTGCCCACTAACTGTCCTAGTTGGTTTTCTTCAAGTACATGAAGGGATTTTTGTTGGAGATTGTGGTATCCTTATTATTCTTATCTGTCTAAGACTGAACAACAAGAGATAGGCTTAATTGAAAGCAGAAGGTATTTCAGCTAGACACAAGGTAGAACAATTTGATCTTTTTTCTTCTTTCCTAACATCCCAACTTCTTAACTTTCTTCTATCAATTTGATGTATTTTTACGAGTATCTACAAAGAGGGTCAACTACTATTACAGAAATGAGTACTACAGAATAGAGTTTACTTCTATTGAGGGAGATTGTCAGCAAAAAGTAAACAATAAATAAAAACATTTCAAACCCTAACAAGTTCTGTGGAGAAAATATAACATGAATTTGTTATTAGAGGAAGGGAGAAGCAACTTTAAATGGAGTGTCAGGGATCCAAAGCTAGAATGAGTTACCAGGGAGGATTATGCATTACTAGTCATGAACATCTTCAAGAAAAGAATAAAAGCCTATTTATTTGAAAGAGTTTAGTTATGCATTTTTGTAGTTATGGGTCTAGTAAAGCCTCTTATGTTTTCTTCTGTTCCTAAGAGTCTATGATCCCATGTAGTTAATACAATTGCTAATAGGGAAAACTAGTAAATTACTCTTCTTGCATAAGTGGTAATTTGTCGTACATTGTGAAGTTGAAAGGAGACATCCTAGACTGAAAAAAAATCATACATTTGCATCAATAGAAATAGCACAATGTTTGACATCCCCTTTCCCAGAAGTATGTGTACTTGTTAAGAGGGTCAACTACTAATCCTACCTTACAAGAAAGCCAGTAATTCAATATCAAAAGCCAGTTTTAATATTGAGTAATTTTGTGTTTCATTGCACATTTCTTACTGAACAGGGGCATCTATATCAAAAGCACTCCTTAATTAGCCATAAAATAGAGATAAATTGTCAACACAGATCTATAAGCTAGAGTTATACGTGCTGTGTAATTGCTATTGAACTTGGGAAAATGTTGAAGTTTTGTCCATAGTTGTCCTTCTTTATAGAAGATATTACTGCAAATCCATATTTTTCTTTATTGGAAAGAATACACTTGAAAGGTGATTATAGGAAATATTTTCCTAGTCATTTAGGAAAGTTCCTATTATTCTATTCTGAGCTCCCCAAAAGGGGTAAATTTCATTTAAAACTTAAGTAGTTTTATCTACTATTTAACATGAAGAAAATGAAAATGTAATCTTATGCAATGCATGATTTGTTTGTATAGATTTCTTGTATATAAAAATAAATATTTAAAAAATTCTGATTCCAAAATTAAGACAATGAAAATCATTTAAGGAACTAAACCATGGTCTTTAGTACTAAATTAGGATTTTTCAAAATACTATTTCTAAAAGCCTGTTTAAGATACAATTGTTAAACTATAATTATTACGATTGTAATAAAAAATAATTATTCCTAAAAGTCTGTTGTAAACTATAAGTATTAAAGGTTACTAACAACAAAAACTAAACAAACATGTTATTGTT